GAACTAGAAAAAATCATCCTGAGTGAGGTAACCCGAACCCAGAAAGACAGTCATGGTATGTACTCACTCATAAGTGGATTCTAGATATAAAATAAAGAACAATCAGACTACAACCCATAGAACCATGGAGTCTATATATATAGCATGGAGGTCCCTAGGACGACTGTGGCTTTATAATAAATTTTGGTTTTACTAAAAAAAAAAATCATTAAATACTTCATGTATGTATCCAAAGAAACATTTTCTTCTATCCCATGCATCTCCATGTCCTAATCTGTTATGCATTTCATGAAGTTTGGCACTTCATCCCAAAGTATTGTCTTCTAAGGGAATTATCCAGAGATGCCAGATAATGTAATAGCACTGAGATTTATTTTGGGGGATCTACTTTTGTCCAACTTCATATGGTGATCAACATAACATTACAGACTTGCACAAGAAAGACATTTCCACCACAGCTGTCTCATTGGTGCTCAAATAAGATTAGTTGTAATATTAAATCAATAAACTACTGTGTTTTCAGAAAAAAAGAATGTACATTCATGAGACCATGGGTTTAATTTTCAACTTCAGAAAAATAATAGAATTGTAGAATATATTTTTAATTGATATATGAAAGAAATGATTGTATCTGGGATATAAAATTGATTATTATTCATCAATGATGGAAAAATGGGAATATTGCTGAAAAAATGGATGAGTTATTTCTCTTGTAATGTATGCAAAGAGAAAAATTCATTAAGCACATTCATTAGTAAAGAAAGGCACATCAAAACACAAGAATTCACTATACCCTCTTCAGAATTCTTAAAATTAAAGAAAAGAAGAAATGTTGTAAGACTAAGACATAACAAGAAATTTTGAACATTGATAAAGAATTGAAGTCTTTGACATCAATAATATTGAATACATGCATAGCTACTACTCAGTATTTCACTTATAAATATATTCCCAACCTAAATATGTCCTTATGACTCCCCAAAGCACATACATTATAAAGTTTACATCAGCATTATACTTACTATAATCCATTTAGTAAAGGCTCAATAACTATCAATTTTATAATACATAAATATATCACCAATCACTCATGTATTATTCAAAGTAATAATGAATAAATTATAATTGCATAGATCACTATCTATGAATATCAAAAGCATGTTATATGAAATAATTAATGTAGAAAAGAATATAAAATTTATTTTTCCACTCATTTAAAATGCAACCACTAATTAATGATGTTAGCAAGAGGGGTCTTATAACATTTCTGATTATTAAATGGGAGTACTTACATTGTTAATTACTTGTATGTATTTCTGATATGTGTATTGCATTATGCTGTTAAAAATTCTGCTTTTAAAAAATGTTTGAGCACAGTACAATATTAAACTTAAAACTCTGGCATTAAAACATCCCTCTGAGACAGGAAACAGAACAAGTTAATTTTACAGACAAACAGAGTATAAGGTTCAATATATTTTAACAGATATCAGTTACTCAAAATATCAGTGTCTTTTATTTGTTCTTCATATTTGGCATATAAACACATCCTTGGCTGCTTTCAGAAAAGAAGGCATCATCTCCCAGTAACTTCTGTAATGTACTTCTTACTTACTTAGGTGATAAATGTCATGTGAAGAAAGAATTAAGTCTGTTTCTAATAAAACTCCATTGGAAACCCAACTGGAGAAAAAGCAGTAATTTTAATGATTAGTACATTTCCTTACTGTTTTAATAAATGCCTGGAATATCTGTATGAGAATGTTTATGAATAAATCTTCAAAACTGCCTCACTTAATGCTTAAGAAAGGCCTTCTGAAAAACATCTCTCTCCATTTTCTTCCACTTTCCAAGTCCACTTTGCTTTTGCCAGCCTCAAAGGGCCCTAAGCCCTTCAGGTCTTGAATCATGTCACTACCGCTCTAGCTACAGGGAACTGGACAGGTCTCCCCTGGGTTCCTATTAACACCTGCTAGTTAATCAGCCGGAGGGGCCGTTAGTGACTGATGTCATATCCTTCCATCCATCCTCCTTCTTCCCTCCCCAGAGGCTGCCCTGCCATTGTAGCCATCCTACTCTGGGAAAGACAGGAACAGAGCTCACACCACATAGCCATTTGTAGAATCACATTCAGTTGTTCAAAAGCTGGAGTTTGCTTTTAGTAAATTCCTAATTACGAATTTGCACACCAAGAACATGCAGCTGTGCAACGTATTAGCAGCAAAACTAACTTTTCAGCTCTCGGATTCATAAATATTTTAGGTATTGTACAAACACTGCAGCAAGCAGTAACAGAGATGTCCCTAGGTAAAAGGAAGCTACTGATAAGATGGATGTAGAGATGCGCAGGGGGTCCTCACATTCTGAATAAGTTTAGCAGTGCAGCCATCTCTAATTTAGACTGTTTTCTTAATCTGCTGCCAGGGGACCATGCTGGGTGATTCCCAGTAATGAACTCCACCTGGATGCTCAGTAAATTTGAGCAGGAGAACCGAGTGCAGCCTGCTGTTCTTGCCACAGATCTGGATGAGTGAGCTCTAATTTGATCAATAAGTGACCATCCCACCAAGGAACCATTAGAAATGTTTAGAGTCTTATCCTCTGTGATAGGACAAGACAGACTGCTTATTTTAATAAGGTCATTCTGGGAGAAAGTGAAACATTCTGAGAGAAACCAGAAATATTTGTGAAACAAAGAAAACAAACTGTTAGTGAATGTTTGATTCTAGTCCCATTCTTGTTTACTAGATTCTGTGTTAATAGGGAAAATGTAGCATAAATGTTTAGAATATCCAAGCTTTGTGGGCTAACATAGTTTTGACACCATTATATAATCAACGGGGTTAATTTACAACTATAGTTACAGGCCTTGGGACATCTGCTAGTCTCTGAGCAGAAACTGCATTGTGTATTGTAATGCACTACACAGTGAATCTACCAAGTGAAGGCATCCTTTAGAGATATAGAGTTATGTCTCTAAAATCATTGTACTTACACCTTATCACTACCCCGCCATTATCCTAATGTGATTGAGAATAAGGCCATAGCTACAGATGCTACTTCTTCTGATACAACCAGGTCCTGTGTTGTAATCAGACCTATATGAATGTTACCACAAAGGTCAGATATGCATCTTCCTTTTTATTAAATTTCAGTTTTCCTTTTGTAAATTATAATTACTGATTAATTTATTTGATTGAAAATAGATTCTTTCTCGTGTAATACATCCCAACCACAGTTTCCCCTCCATCTAGTCCTCCTAGCTTCCCACTCACTTCCGCTCCCCCTCAGATCCACATTCTCTCTGTTTCTTCTTCCGAAAGAGATGACAGCTAAAGAGGACAAAAGATAAAATAGACAAGGCAAAAGCCCTCATATCAAGGCAACCCAAGAGGAGGAAAAGAATCTCAAGAGTCAGAGACACATGAGCTCCCACTGTTAGGAGTCCCACAAGAACAGCAAGCTAACAGCCATAACAGAGGACCTGGTGCAGACCCATGCAGGCCCGCCCCATTCTTGCTACTTCAGACTCTGTGGGCCCATGGGAGCCATGATTGGTTGATTGGTGGGCCATGTTCTTTTGGTGGCCTCCATCCCCTGTGACCCCTACAGTCTTTCTTCCTGCTCTTCCACTGGGTACCCCATTTCCAAGAGGAGGGACAGGTGGAAACCTCCTATGTGGAC